ATTGTTAACATAAAATAATAGAACATTTTAATAAAAATTAATATTTTTTCTTGAACATTAACTTACCAGACACTGAATAACTGCACAAATTAATAAGTGTAATACAAATAAACCTATTTTCCTTGTTCTCCAAAAGCAAAATATTTCCTGTTGTGCACACCAAACAAGTCAGTCCAAGACTAATGACATGGCAGTCGGCTGCTAAAATATTCGCTGCTAGTATTAGTGGAGAGAAATGGTGTGCCTGCGTGTAAGGGAAATGAATTCAATACTATTATAGTAATCATTAGTGAATGCTGTAGTTCGTTATTAATAACTAGAGGCCCAGTGCATGAATTTGTGCACAGGAGGTCATCTTGCCCAGTCCCGATAGGGACCATGGGAGGTTGGCCAGCGTGGGAGGGCTCCAGGGCGTGTCCAGCCCTTCTTGCCCAGTCCTGATCTGCCCCCAGCAGCAAGCTAACCTACCGGTTGGAGTATCTGCCCCCCTGGTGGTCGGTATGCATCATAGCGGCTGATCAAGTGGTTGACCGAATGGTCGAGCGGTTGGTCGGACACTTAGCATATTAGGCTTATATATATAGATTATGTATAACAGGATATTGTAAAAATTAAGTTATGAAATTTTTATTAAAAAGTTTCTTACATACCGTTATATTGGCTGGGCTGCAAAAATATTCATTGTGGGCCGCAAGTTTGACATGCATGCTCTGCTTAGAGACACAGCCAAGCCTTTGCCCTCCCATCCCAAAGCGTAAGCCTCCCTTCCCACCACTCCTGGCATTGCAAGTACCACTTATTGCACAGCCCTGGGCTCCATCTTCATCCACTGACCTTTGACCTTATCTATCCTTTCTGGAAAACCTCCTGGCTTCCCTAACATCACTTTATGTTTTTCTTTGTCTCCCTCCTTTGCCTGTCAGTCATCTTTGAAGTCTGCTCATTCTCCACCCTCCCCACAGTGTCGGCATTGCCGGGGCAACCACTCTCCACCCCCTCAGTTTCTAAGGAGACTTTTACATGGATCCATATCTTTGGCTCAGACCTTAAAATCAGTATCTCTAAAACTGAGCTATATTAATCATAAGGGAATCCCTTTGTATCTCTTCCTTGTCCTCCATCTCAACTCAAGCAGAATATGCCTCCTGAATAGCTCTTCAAACTGTCCCCTCCCCTCTAGTCCCTCTGCCATTACCTGCTCCAGCCCTTCTTACCTCCTGCTTCCCAGAGCCGAGCCTGCCAGTGTGGCCCCGCTGCCGGGTGTGCCGCCCGAGAGTCTCCATCTTGTACTTGTCCTCAAATGTGCCTTTGTCATCTGTTGTGAGAAGTGTCACAGTAACTTCTCACTAATAAAATGCCGAATATTTTATATTCATTGAGTGTCAGCGTTGGCTTTTTACAGTGTCAGCCTCACTATCATCTGATGTGCTTCAGTGGAAGAGGGGTGGTTACGTGGCAGTGACTGCATAAGATCCTGGATCTACCCAGGAGATAAGGATCCTGAAGCAGCAGCCTAAAGTATGCGACTCCTTACAAGACTGAATCTGAATTCCACTATCATAGGCTAGATTTACCTCAAGGTCAGCCCGAAGCCTGGCCTCCACAGCACCTCCCACCACTTGCCTTGCTTCAGTGCCATGAGCCCATTTCCAGGGTGTCTTCTTGTCATGAGCTCCGAGTGCCAGCCAGGAAGTTACTCTCCTGTATTCGAATCTTTAGGGTACGGTGCTGACTCATAGATACAGTGGAACCTTGGCTCTCGCCCCTAATTTGTTCTAGAAGGCTGTTAGAGAAGCAATTTTTTTCCATTATAAATAATGTAAATTGAATTAATCCGTTCCAGACCCCCAAAATGATTCCCCATTAACAATACAGTACATGCCTAATGTATTGTTTAATCTGTAAATAAACACTTCTTAAATTTATCGAACTACTCCCTACTAGCCTTAAATGAATTTTTCATATATCACTGCCTCTGAAATGCTATCACCAGCTAACTGCTTTTCATTTATCCAATCAACAACAGTTTTTCTGCCTTTTCAATTGTCTGTGATTGTTGTTTTGTGAGCACTTCCACACCCTTAGCAACATTAGCACTTTTTAAAATATTTTTAAAAATTTATTTCAGAGAAAGGGAGTGAGAAGCATCAATAATGAGACAATCATCCATCAGCTCCCTCCTGCACGCCCCCTACTGGAGATCGAGCCTGCAACCCAGGCATGTGCCCTGACCTGGTTTATGGGTCTTTGCTTAACCACTGAGCCACACCGGACCAGGCACAACATTAGCACTCTTGATGGCCTTTGTCTGCTTTTAAAATTGTGCTAATCCTCGATTTCACAGCAACAAAAGCATTCTCTACTTAGTTGCCTAAGAGATGCTTTTTGTCATGCTCACGTATCAGTATGAAAGGGTTGTCAGGTCAAAAACACATTTTGATTGACAACTAAAACATTTTTTTCTATGAACAACTTGGTTGAGAACCGAATAGTTTGAGATAGGAGACATTTGAGAAACAAGGTGTGATTGTATTTGATGATTTTTTATAATTTATCTGTAGAATACAGATAAATTGAGGAGGCAAGGCTAATGGGGGAACAAAATGGGATTGGTGTGACCCAGGCTGGGCCTTAACACACAGGATCTTTCCTTTTCTCTACCATCGTCGGTGAGGGCAGGGCACATGCAGGCCTGGTTTCAGTATCTGTCTGTGTTCCCAGTAATGAGGAAGCCTGCAGATTGCTTCTGGAGGCCCAGTGCCAGCTCTAGTCTTCCGCTCTGCCACTGACCCAGAGTGGTAACTGACCATCACGTTACCACTCTGGGTTTCTGTTTCTTCAATCATAAAATAACTGAGGTAAGTCCCCTCCAGTTCCGACATCCTAGAGCACTTTTTCTGGGACCAGGATAGTGTCTTGCATCTCATTTGCACCTTTATTCAGCCCCTCCACAGCGTCACCTTCCAGGGGGATTCAGACGTGATTTGGTGTAAATAATGTAAATTGAATTAATCTGTTCCAGACCCCCAAAATGATTCCCGTTAACCTTTCTTATATACAATACATGCCTAATGTATTGTTTTATCTGTAAATAAACACTTCTTAAATTTATCGAACTACCCCCTACTAGCCTTAAATGAATTTTTCATATATCACTGCCTCTGAAATGCTATCATGAGTTCTTGCATGATGGGCATGAGGTCATTGCCTCTTACTCCTTCTGAGGCTCTTCCTGCTGGAAGGAGCCTCTCAGTATGGCATTGCCCACCCTTCTCCCTGGGCAGAGTCTCACGTGAGCCTCTTCAGTGGGCTTGTCACCTGCAGAGGCAGTCCTGCCATCCCTGGTGATCCTTAATGGTTAATGTCACTCAGAGTCAGAATGTACTGGTTTTAAATCTTGTTTAGCCAGCATTTCATTCTGCTCTGAAAAGAGGAAGACTATTTACTTCCTGAAGTTTCTTAAACCATCTTTCTCTGAATCTTCTCTCTCCTGAGGAAACATCCTACCTCAGTAGGCCCTTTCATTTTCCTTTCTTCTCTCCACATATTTCTCTTCTGACTTCTTCATGTCACTTTCCTTTTGAAAGCTCTGGATTTGACCTAATTGCCAGGAAAATGAATGAGGGGGAAGGAGTTAAGGATTATGCCTAGGTTTGGGGTCTGAGCATCTGGGTGGACAGATGTCTGTTTGAGTTGGCTGTAGAAAGAGCAGGTGAGCCAGAGAGAGGCTGGACAGTAGTTGGTGTATAAATGCAGTCCCAGGTGGGGAGAAGGTGTAGAATGAGAGAAGATAATCTCTCAGGAAACATCATTAAGGGATAGACAGAGGGAAAAGGACCAGACAGAGACTGAAGAAATGCAGATGAGAGGAAAACCAAGAAAATGTGTCCCAGGGCTATGAGGAGACAGTCTCCAAACGGAGGCCGTGGGCAGGTGCTTCAGTTGTTACAGAAAACGCCATTGGGGTCACGGGGGGCCTTGGCAAGAGAGTGACTAGGAGCAGTGGGGGCCAGAGACAGATGAGAAGGTTTTTTTTCATAGCAGCACAATTCACCATAGCTAAGATTTGGAAACAGCCTAAGTGCCCATCAGTAGATGAATGGATTAGAAAACTGTGGTACATCTACACGATGGAATACTATGCTGCTGTAAAAAAGAAGGAACTCTTACCATTTGCAAGTACATGTCCTTGACCGGAATCGAACCTGGGACCCTTGAGTCTGCAGGACGACGCTCTATCCACTGAGCCACACCGGTTCGGCGATGAAAAGGTTTTGAGGGGAACAAGAGGTGACAAACTATAACCATCCCTTCAAGAGTGTCTCTGTGACAGAAAGAAGAATGAGAGGACATTAGGGGGCCAGAGTCACTGGCATTAGGAGCTACCCCACCCTGTGTTCTCCGCTGGAGGATGACTTTTAGAGAAGAAATGTCAAAGGAGTTGAGCCAGGCCTCTGGCCTAGGAAGTCTCAGGCTGCATCACTCCTGAATGAGCTATGTTACCTATTTTTGGTGGCCTGCGGTGTGCCAGGTACAACCAAGTGCTCAGAATACAGAGGCTGGTAGGCTCTGCCCGCTCCTGGCTTGCACTTACAGTGTCTGGTGCCTGCGTCTCTATAGGGAAACACGCCTGACTCCTTGGCAAGGTCATTCTCCTCCCTGAGGTCTCCCAGCCTTGCGCCTGCCTCTTCATACTATACCCCTCGCTGATTCTACCTGTTGTGAGTGAATCTTATTCAGGTCTGTCCCTACATATGCATATAGTGGCCTTGCCTGCTGTATATTGTGTCCACCACACAGGAGAATTGCCAGGTGCGCACTAGGTTCTCAATAAACATTGAGAGAAAAAAGAGAAACACCAGTTAGTTTGGCAAAGAAGATGGACACAGAAACCACTAATGTGCAGAGCGCTGTGGGGGTTTGAGCTGAGAGCTGCTCCATTGGGTCTGGGGAGTGGATGGCAGCCTTCTCCAAGGAGGTTGAGGTCTTGAGAATCTTGTCTTGGGGCTGATTTCATATTATCTCTCTACACCTTTTGTCCTCTGCTGTCTTCTCTCCCCTCAGGGCCTCACCTTCCCCCTCAGCATTCTCCAAAGTTGAGTAGGGCAGCTGAGAGCCATTCTTTTCATCTTGCTTTGCAGACTGGGCCCATCTTCTTGTTTCCCCAAGTTCCCAAGCATGTTGGAAGTGGAAAAAATTAAAAAGCCCCCCAGGAGACATGCACCCTCAGGATCTGTCCCCCCATGACCAGACCCCAGAGTCCAGCTGCCACAATGACTTCCGGCTCTGAGTTCAACACCAGAGCTACCAACACCTTTTGTGGACGTGGCTGGGGTGCCAGGGAGGACCTGCCAGAGACTGGGGTCAAAACCTCAGCCCTGGTCTGTCCCCTGGGGTAGACATAGAGGAGAAGGCCAGCAGTGGTCGCAGAAAGATCAGACCCTCTGGCTCCCAAAAGGGGAGTGAGAGGGATCTTCCCCTGTGAAGGAAGAGACCCCACTCCTTCCCCAGTGGCTCTTCCGTCCCCTCACTGATCAAGTTTCCCTGGAGGAGCAGGAGGAAGGCACCTTGGGCCAATGCATCCGCAGCAGGAAGAGAAGAGCCTGCACACTGGGGAGGCCTGGTTTTCACTCAACTAGTGCAAAGAGCCAGGCCAGCCGGGGGCAGAATAGGTCAAAGGGAGACTGTGAACTCTGTGTTGTGAAATCTGGGCTTGGGCAGGAGCCCTCTGTGCAGCCTGAGGAGCTGTCCAAACAGAAGGCCCGTGAATGGAGAGAGATGGGGCAACTGGCAGGAAAGAAGTCAAAAGCCCCCCGGCTCAGTTCTAGCCCGGCCCCTTCTACCCCAGTGATAGGTCAGAGGTGGGCCAGCCTAGTGAGAATGAGAAGGTGAGGCAAGCTGACATCCTCAGGGCCTGTCTGGACAGAGAGGTACGATGCCTCAAGAAGTGGAAGAAGAGGCATTTGCTTCCTAGCAGGGAGAAGTCATCCCTGCTGAGCCTCCAGCAGTCACCCTGCTTGAAGAAGCTGGTCAGAACTATGAAGGAGACCAAGGACTGGGTTTTTCAAGGGCGTTCCCCAGGCACTCCAGACACCACAGGTCAGACGCCCGCGTTGGATGTCAGACGGTTCTTTCCCATTGACTGTAAGAACACCTGCCAAGTCACCTGTACTCGGTGTCACGCCACCATTAGACAAGGCAAAATTAAGGGGCAGTCCAAAACCTCAGGCCTGGTCTGTCCCCTGGTGAATAAGAATGGGCTGGGGAGGGAAAGAAGGCTAATTGCAGCCAGTCCAGGGAGAAGGGGCAGGGGTGGTGGAGAAGCAGAAGGGCCTACCTGCAAGGGCCACCAGCCTTGTCCATGAGGGTCTCCCATCATCAGGACATTGCCCACATGACATCCTCAGAAAACAATGACAGGCAGCGGGCCCCAGGGAGGCGTGAGCAGCTGTTACTGGCTCCATCACCCCTGCCTTCTCCCATCAAAGATGAATCTGCTGCTCCCCCAGTGGCAGTCAGGACCGAGGTGGCATATATGCTCCCAAACCCTCCCGCTCCCAAGCCTTGCACCAGAGCATTGCTGAGTTACTCTGCAGCTTGGCATTGCCTCTCCTTTTTTCCTTCCGCGCCCTTCAAAAGGTTTATGACCCAGGTTGACCCTTGCTACTGCCTGCCATCTCCATCCTCCTCTGATAAAGCCTTGCCTCTGCTCCGTGAGGCGATGGGTGAGCAAGTGCTTCGGGAGATGCAGTGGGCTGAGGGCAGCCACATCCATCTGGCCCTGTCCTCGGCAGCTCAGGAAGTGGTCCTAGAGGACTATGTGGCCATCACTGCCCACTGTGGGGGGTGATACAGCCCCATAGCTGTCAGGCGGTGTCGGGAAGCCCGAGGAAGCAAGCAGTGCTCTGGGTCCGAGGCCTGCCCCTGGAGAGCACTGTGGAGGACAGGCAGTGGGAACTACAGGAGCAGCTCACCCTGTAGCTGGGCCATGACTCCCTGTAACCAGGCTTCCCAGTATCAAGCGGCTGCCCCAGCCTGGAGCAGGCAGTGGCGATGGGGGGCTACACCCACATTCCTTGCTTTGCTCACTGCCTCAACTCTCTGGTGAAAAATGTTCTGTGTCACCATCATAGTGTCCAGACCATCCAGATGGCACAGCCAGGGCCATCTGCAACCATTTCCAAGGCTCTGCAGAAGCCCGGCGGCTCCTCATGCAGCTGCAGCAGCAGTGTGGCCTCCCAACCCATCAGCCCTTTTGGGAGCTCTCAGACCACTGGGTCTCAGCCTGCCACCTGATGGAGTGGCTGGTGGAGCGCAAGCGGCCACTGCGCGAGTATGAGGAGAAGCACCAGCTGGGGAGGCCGGATGGCCCTTTCAGCCATGTTTTGGAGCCTGACAGACAGTCTGGTCAGGCTTCTGCGGCTCTTCCAGGTGGTGGTCCAGGAGGCGAGCAATCTGCCGGCTTCTTTAAGCCAGGTGCTGCCGAAACTGCGCTCCCTGCACATCTTCCTGGAGCAGGATCAAGGCACTTTGAGGAGCAAAGTGGTGGGGAGATGGGTGCAGCCATCCGGTTGGCCCAGGGCTTGGCCCTGCAGCTCTGTACAGACTGTCAGCTCAGTGAGCTCTTCCACCACGAGGAGTTCATGCTGGCGACTCTACTGGACCCCCGCTTCAAGGGCCAGATTGAGGCCATCCTGCCTGTGGGGGCCGACATTGACCACTGGAAGCAAGTTCTCATGTACAAGGTGAAGGAGGCTATGGTGTCTGAATACTCCTTGTCTCCCCCACCCTTCCTACAGAACCCCAAGGTTATGTGGACACCACCTGGAGTGGCAGAGTAGCCAAGGGCCCCAGGGCTGAGGGGAAGGGCCAGAAGGAGCCTGTGTGGAGAAGCAGTAGATCATGGTCTTTGCTGCTGGGCCAGAGGGAAAATAGCTTGCTGGAGCAGCTGGAAAGCGTAGGGCTGCTAGCATCCCAGAGAAACAGAGCTTCGCTCTCCACCGAGAACCACCTGCCACAGTCATTGTCAAGAAGTACCTGTGTGAGAACAAGACAGTTGGTGCCCAGGAGGACCCCTTGGCTTACTGGGAGAAGAGGCAGGAAGTCTGGCCAGCCCTGGCAAAACTGGCCACTGTCTATCTGTCCTGTCCTGCTACCAGCACCTTTTCTGGAAGTGTCTTTGCCTCCCTGGATAGTCCCACCATCATAGAGAGTAACTCCCCTCTCCCAGTGGAAACAGTTGAGCATCTCTTCTTGAAGACCAACCTGGAGAATTTCCCCAACTGTGCGTCCTCTCCTCTTATCTTCCCCAGTGGGGACCTGGCCTAGGGGGACTAGACCAGGGATGCCCTCAAAATCTGCCTGGAGAAACTTCGCCATAGATGAAAGGAGAGAGCAGATGTTGCATCTAGGCTATCAGACAAGGCAGCCAGAATCTTAAGCCCATTTGAGAAGAATGGGGACAGTCTCCCAGTTCTTGACAGATTGCCTTGTTTATTTTTTCGGTCTGAAAGGTAGGATTTTCCACCTACCCATTGCTTAATTTATTTCTAGCACTATGTGCATAGGGAAGGTTTACCCTGTTATGAGTTGTGCTATACAGTTTTATAAGCATTAATGCTCTTTTGAAATATTGGTAGTTATTAAGGGCCCAACATGCAGCTTATCTATGTATGTCAAGGTATACTTGCCCTTAGAGTTCTGCTTTTTCTCTTTTTTAAATCCTCACCCAAGGATATTTTTCCATTGATTTTTAGAGAGAGTGGAAGGGAGAGGGAGAGACAGAAACATTGATGTGAGAGAGACACATCGATTGGTTGCCTCCCACACATGCCCTGACCAGGGCCGGGGGTTGAACCTGCAACAGGTACATGCCCTTGACCAGACTCTAACCTGGGACCCTTCAGTCCCCAAGCTGATGCTTTATCTATTGAGCCAAACTGGCTAAGGCGAGGTCTGTTTTCTCTTGAGACAGGGACAAGGGTTGTGGGGTGCTGGCATATATACTCAGTGGGATATATATTCAGCCACGTGGGTGAGCTATGAAAGCTCTTTCTGAAACTGCTTTCACTGTAGAAAGAAATAAACCCTGAGATAGAGTAGCCCTTTTAAGAAGGAGGTGTATGCACGCATGCATGTGCATATCAGTCTTCTTAGGGTCTGCACTTTTTCCTGTTGTCAGACCCTATAGTGGCCGGAGAACTCTGATTAATAGGACTGCCCAGCTACTGAAGAAGAGTGAATTGAGGAGGGCTGAGGCACTCACTCTTTAGACTGTTTTTACCTATAGTTTGTTCCCACACTGCTGGAGACCTGGGGTTTCTTCTTTTCTATGGTGTTAGCTGTCTCAGAAAGCTCCCATGCTCACCAGGCTCTAGGTGGCTAAGTTTATATTTCACCTGCAGCGCCCAAACCTCCCCTTGTCCCTGGCCACTTCTAGAGGGCAAGTCCCTATCTGGAAGCCAGAAAGGCTGTGTATCAGACCAACTAGTAATGGACCGCCTAGAGCAGCGGTCACCAACGGGTGGTCTGTGGACCACTGGCGGTCCGTGAAGTCCAAAAGGTTGGCGACCACTGGCCTAGAGTTCCAGTAGGGCAGAGTGCAGGACCTGAGCAGGTAGGATCCAGGAACTGGTGGCTTCAGGTGGGAGAGGAAGGAGATGGGGAGGAAGACAGTTGGAGCGGGCCTGTCACACCCTACAAGACCCAAATCTGGCCCTCCTGAGGTGCTGGAGCACTAGGAGAGGTGGCGCTGAGGGAAAGTAGGTAGAGGCAGGGGGAGGTACTCAAGGCCTAACTTGCACTTTGGCCGTGAGGGTGAACCTGGAGGCCTGCCACCAGCCTCCCCCAGAGGGGTTGTCAGTCTTATGTCACTAAGACTGATTCACTTTCATTCTTTAGACTGTTTTTACCTATAGTTTGTTCCCACACTGCTGGAGACCTGGGGTTTCTTCTTTTCTATGGTGTTAGCTGTCTCAGAAAGCTCCCATGCTCACCAGGCTCTAGGTGGCTAAGTTTATATTTCACCTGCAGCGCCCAAACCTCCCCTTGTCCCTGGCCACTTCTAGAGGGCAAGTCCCTATCTGGAAGCCAGAAAGGCTGTGTATCAGACCAACTAGTAATGGACCGCCTAGAGCAGCGGTCGCCAACGGGTGGTCTGTGGACCACTGGCGGTCCGTGAGGTCCAAAAGGTTGGCGACCACTGGCCTAGAGTAACAGTAGGGCAGAGTGCAGGACCTGAGCAGGTAGGATTCAGGAACAGGTGGCTTCAGGTGGGAGAGGAAGACAGTTGGAGTGTGCCTGTCACACCCCACAAGACCCAAATCTGGCCCTCCTGAGGTGCTGGACCACTAGGAGAGGTGGCGCTGAGGGAAAGTAGGTAGAGGCAGGGGGAGGTACTCAAGGCCTAACTTGCACTTTGGCCGTGAGGGTGAACCTGGAGGCCTGCCACCAGCCTCCCCCAGAGGGGTTGTCAGTCTTATGTCACTAAGACTGATTCACTTTAGGGCATTTGTAAGTTGCTGAGTATGAGGAATCAGGAAAAATTAACCATAATCCTTTCACTGAACCTCTGTTAATACATTGACATACTTCCTTTATTTTGAGATCATACCCCTGGACTAGTTAGTATGCTGTATTTTCATTTTAATAGTACATTAATGTATCTACTTATATAAAGCTTTGTAGAGATCACATTTAATGGTTGGAGTAGCATGATTTGAATGAAAGTCTGGCCTCCAGGTTGTTTAGGCCATGACTCCTCTCCCCCAGCTGTTAGGAGGGGATGTCACAGGCTTCCCGAGGTGAGGCTTGTGGGTGAGTGGCTGGGATTGTGGCTGTACTCCTCACCATGCTGACTCCAAATCAAGTGCATTGGGTAGTAAGATCAGGGCATGGGCTGTGGACCTCTAGGTGCCTGCCTCCCTTAAATGTACGTGTAGCTCAGACTTGAATGAGCACCACCCAATAGTGTCTTAAGACCCTGGGGTCCTATCCCTCTTTCCAAATTCTGATTAAGTGGGTTGGGGGTGGGGGCAAGAATGTGATGTGCCTTAAAGTTGCCCTAGGCAGTTCTCAGGAGAGGTGCTGCCCTGTGCTCTTTGGCATCACTGAACTGGTTCTGGTGTTCTCGGAGAGGGAGAGTCTGGAATGGAGGAGCAGGCATGTGAGGATGCCGGGGAGTGAAAGGAACATGATGAGACAGAAGTGTGATGGTCCTAAGCTTGGGCATAGCAGTGGTTCTCAATGGGACATTTTTGTTCCCCAGGGGCCATTTCGCAATATCTGGAGGTATGAGGAATCAGGAAAAATTAACCGTAATCCTTTCACTCAACCTCTGTTAATACATTGATATACTTCCTTTATTTTGAGATCATACTCCTGGACTAGTTAGTATGCTGTATTTTCATTTTTTTTTTTTTAAACAGTTCACGCCTGGCACCCTAGGCCAGCACAGGCAGCCCCATCCCTGTGGCCTGGGGAAGTTCTGAGTAGCACCCCAAATGTCATTTCTTTTTCTTTCTTTTTTTTAAAATAGATTTTTATTGATTTTTTACAGAGAGGAAGGGAGAGGGATAGAGAGTTAGAAACATCGATGAGAGAGAAACATCGATCAGCTGCCTTCCACACCCCCCCAACTGGGGATTTGCCTGCAACCAAGGTACATGCCCTTGACCGGAATCGAACCTGGGACCCTTGAGTCCGCAGGCCGATGCTAGTTGCTGAATATGAGGAATCAGGAAAAATTAACCATAATCCTTTCACTGAACCTCTGTTAATACATTGACATACTTCCTTTATTTTGAGATCATACCCCTGGACTAGTTAGTATGCTGTATTTTCATTTTAATAGTACATTAATGTATCTACTTATATAAAGCTTTGTAGAGATCACATTTAATGGTTGGAGTAGCATGATTTGAATGAAAGTCTGGCCTCCAGGTTGTTTAGGCCATGACTCCTCTCCCCCAGCTGTTAGGAGGGGATGTCACAGGCTTCCCGAGGTGAGGCTTGTGGGTGAGTGGCTGGGATTGTGGCTGTACTCCTCACCATGCTGACTCCAAATCAAGTGCATTGGGTAGTAAGATCAGGGCATGGGCTGTGGACCTCTAGGTGCCTGCCTCCCTTAAATGTACGTGTAGCTCAGACTTGAATGAGCACCACCCAATAGTGTCTTAAGACCCTGGGGTCCTATCCCTCTTTCCAAATTCTGATTAAGTGGGTTGGGGGTGGGGGCAAGAATGTGATGTGCCTTAAAGTTGCCCTAGGCAGTTCTCAGGAGAGGTGCTGCCCTGTGCTCTTTGGCATCACTGAACTGGTTCTGGTGTTCTCGGAGAGGGAGAGTCTGGAATGGAGGAGCAGGCATGTGAGGATGCCGGGGAGTGAAAGGAACATGATGAGACAGAAGTGTGATGGTCCTAAGCTTGGGCATAGCAGTGGTTCTCAATGGGACATTTTTGTTCCCCAGGGGCCATTTCGCAATATCTGGAGACATTTTGGTCGTCACAGCTTGTGGATAGAAACAGGAATGCTGCTGCTAAACCCCCTGCAGTGAACAAGACAGCCCCCAAACACTTAGCGGCCTTGAATGTCAATAGTGCCAGGATTGAAGAACCCTGCTCTAGACTGGGACCTGGAGGAAATGGGTGAGGAAGGGTCCCCAGTTCACCAAAGTGGCCTGGGGACTGTCCCCTGAGGCTGCTCTGGGTTGAACCATTTCTCCCCTAGACTTAGCTGTGCCCTGGCTGACTCCTGGGCATCATTTTCTGGCCCATTTCCTACCTAGGTAAGCTGACACTCAGCAGAGGCTGACTGCACAGGCAGATAGGCCTCCCCGTGACACCCGAGGGTCAATTGTGTCTTAGTCGCTGTCTCATCCGTGTAACCAAGTTCTTGGTGCAGACTCACATGTTGGGCCAAGAGCCTCTATTGGCTCATTTGCATAACAAGACCAGGAGGACTCCTGTTTTTTAGAGAAATGTTGACAGGTGGATGTGGGGAGTCATTCTCCCATTGTGCAGAGCCTGCTGCTGGCCTGTGCATCACAGCAGGTGGGTTTGGACAGATGGGTAGACACAGGCTGTTCTCAGTCCTGCCCAGACCTGTCTGGTTGAGGTGTACAGATTTGTGATAAGATGGGGACCATGAGAAGAGCAGAGGTTGTTGCACAGGAGGAACAACGTGGTGCTGTTGTGTAACCGCAGGCGAGGGGGTGATACCCACGGCTGCTGGAGGGCATGGGCCTTGGAAGGCCTGATTTCTAGCTTCATCATGATCTTTCTGCTCCACTGTTTCCTCTTCTGCGAAAAGCGTTCATCCCAGCTTTAAGGTGGGATGCAGATACACAGTTCTCTCTGTCTCCCTTGCTCTGCCCACTCCCCTTGATCTTTCTCACCCTTTGTAGCCACCATGTTCATCTAAACAATCACCCAGTTCCTCAGGGCATCATGCCCTCACCATCACAGGCTGCTGTGGCTCACGTCTGTCTGAGAATGCCCCTGAGTCCAGTGTGGTGTTTGAACAGTGTTGATCATCCTCTCCTTGAAAGTTACGATTTCTCCCTCTCGCTGCTCGGCCATATCCTCATTCAGCCTCATAAAGGTTGGTGTCCTGAATTCCGCCCTTGACCTCTCCACTGTACACCACGTGAATAGTGACCACTTTCACCATCAAATAATGCATGTCTGGGGAGGATTGGGGAGGATATGGAAATTCCTGCAGAGAGGCCTACAGGTAATGGAAGAGGTCTGTGTCCCCAAAAGCCTGGCCAGCTATGCCACACGCTCTCACCAGGCACCTGTGTAGGTCATGCCTTCAGCCTAGAGCATCATCTGTCTCCTAAGCCCAATCCCACATGGTCACCTCAGACAAGGTCTTGCCCCCTAGGCTGTCCCATCTGTGTCCCGAGTGTTTGAGAAGGAAGTCCCTGCATCCAGTCACCTGGCTAGATCCGTGCATGTTTTACTATTCCAGACCCTCGTCCCTCTGCATCGCTCCACTGCCCTCAGTGAGGTCCTTGTCTCACTAGTGCGTTTATGGCAGGTGTCTAGTGCCCCTTGAGCACCCACGCTCTGGGCCCGAGCAGTTTTAACCAGAGTCACAAGGGACTCCCTACTGCCTGATGGCAAAACCCAGCAGATCCTGTTTTGTAGAGTGAACCAGGTTTCTTAGTAGATGCCTCCAGTCCCTTTTGGAAAGAAATGCGATCGAAATGAGAACTTGCTGGAGAGTTGCAGACCAGAGGAGAGCTAGCTAGAGATGTAGGGACCCCCTTCTCAGAGATGGGACTGGGAGGGTAAGCGCTGTTAGTAGCCTTCCCAGCTTCCTGGCAGAGGAATGGGAGGAGCTCTGAGCCTGGTTTCCTTGGAGAGGGGAAAATATCAAGTGGCCTTGATTATGGAAACGCAGACTGGGGACTGCTGACACTCTGTGAGGCCCAGGTTTTGTCAACAGGAGTGAATGGTTCCATAGTTCTTTGCAGGCGTCAGTGCATGGCCTGGGCCTGACCAAAGTCTGCAGAGTTGGGAAACTGCCATTTGGAGCAGAGGTCCCTTCTTGTTTTCCTCTGCTGAAACCTTGACCCCTCTGTGGGCGGCAGGACCCTCCCCAAGGCCTCCTCCCTCATGCTCGTTCTGCACTGGCACCTGGGCTGCTGCTGCCCCACAGCCACTGATGACTTGAAATGCCCCTACCCTGCCTTTCTGGAGCCAACTTTGGTGCCACCCTGCCCCTCCCTCCAGGATGGTCCCACCTCTCCAGCCTCTTTGCTTTCTTTGGAAATGTCATGTTTGCAGCCGGAACAGTGATTGATGCTGTTCTGTTGACACCAGAGTAAAGGACTAGTGTGGACAGGTGTGGTGAGCATATGTGGAGCAGTGGCGTGGAGTGCAGGAGGTGAGGCGGGGGCTGGCAGTGTTGCCTCTTATCCCCAAGCTAACCGTCCCTTTCTTCCTTCTACTCTAGTTTCCTGTCTAGGACTTAAGGCTGGTCCTCTGAAGGACCAGAGGTTAGAAATTGGCCCACATAATCTAGAAACCATTTTGAATTTACATTTTAAAAAGGTGCATCAGGAAATTTTAAAAATTATTTTTCTTTTAATTCTTTATTGTTGAAAGTATTACATATGTCCCCGTTTTTCCCCCGTCATGCATATACGCATACAAGGTCCTTGATTGATTACCTCCCACCCCCCTACCCTCCCCCGCCTTCCCTCTGAGATTCCGCACTCTGACATCAGGAACATTTTTGAGTGAATACAGCCAGGCCCAGGTGCTCCTGTTTATGTTTGCATATGCAAGGCTCTCCCAGGGAGCGCACAAAGGAGACTGGTGATGGTGGTGACCATTATCTATTAAAAAATATATTTAAATGGGTAAAAAGAAACACCTCAAAACTAATAATGAGAGATCATGAGTGGTTATGGGAAAAATAAAATTATGAGATGTTGCTGTCCAGTGCAGATTTGGAAAATGGGGAGAATTGGTAGCACTGGACCTGAATGCCGTCCAGCATGGCTCACAGGCGGAGTCGGGTCTTCTTAGTAAGGTCTGGGCCTGGCCCACCTCCCTCAGGGGGGCCCTTGGTCTTGTTGGGTCACCTGGGTTTCTGGCCCTGGTAGCAGAGTGGGTGGCACTTCATGCTGTCACCTGCTCCAGGGTCACAGAGGTGTATAGGAGAGGTCTGCTTACTGTTTACCTATCTTTCCTTAGTGAACAGCCAGCTGACCCCCAGACTGTCAAGGCCCAGACCACCTGGACTGACTTCGTCTCATGGAGCCTCAGGGTGAGAAGCCAGGAGAGGCCGAAGGGGTGCGCATCACCTCCCAGATGCTCAAGTCTTGCTCGGGCGAGTTTGCCCTGGAGTCCATCCTGCTGCTGAAGCTACGAGGCTTGGGACTGGTGGACCTCGGCTGCCTGGGAGAGTGCCTGGGTCTCGAGTGGCTGGATCTGTCTGGCAACGCGCTCACCCAGCTGGGCCCCCTGGCCTCCTTGCGCCAGTTGGCCGTCCTCAATGTTGCCAACAACCGGCTGACAGGGCTGGAGCCACTGGCTGCCTGCGAGAACCTGCAGAGTCTCAATGTTGCAGGCAACCTGCTGGCCACCCCTAGCCAGCTGCAGTGTCTGGCGGGGCTGCGGGGCCTGGAGTACCTGCGGCTCCGGGACCCTTTGGCCCGGCTCAGCAACCCTCTCTGTGCCAGTCCCTCCTACTGGACGGTGGTCCGAGAGCTGCTGCCAGGCCTGAAGGTCATCGACAGTGAGCGTGTGACTGGGCGTGGCAGTGAATTTTACCAGCTGTGTCGGGACCTGGACTGCTCCTTGCAGCCCAGCTCCAGCCCAGGCCCCAGCACCACTGAGGCCCAGCCCTGGGTGGAGCCAGGGTACTGGGAGTCCTGGCCGCCCCGGAGCAGTTCCATCCTGGAGGAGGCCTGCCGGCAGTTCCAGGACACGGTGCAGGAGTGCAGAGACCTGGACCGCCAGGCCGCTGACAGCCTGGCCCAGGCCGAGCAGGTACTCAGTCCTGCGGGTACCGCCTCATCCTTTGTCTTCTAATTGTGCCCCATGGCCCTGGACAGCGTGGCATAAGGCCATGGGGTCGGCACAGTGTGACCTAGCAGCCCACATCTCCCCTCCCGCCTCTGCACTTGTCTTCACTGTTTCATCACGCTGGTCACTGTCCCTGCAAACTGGGCTATTCATTTATCCCTGTTCCTAAGAGCAGACCCCCTCCCTCCCACTCCTACCTCAAGAACATTCCTGTGTTCTTCAGGGAAGCACTTCCCCAGGGCTTCAAGCAGGTGTAAGGACCCTCCGTTAGCAGCTGGCACTGTGTGTCTGTCCTGCCACCTGTGCCATACGCCTGGGGAGGAGGGTCCAGGCCTTTGCCACTCCTGGCTGCTCCGGCCTTAGACTGGTGGAAGAAAGCTGCTACTCCCTAAGGGTAAAGGTGGCAAAGGAAGGGATGGAGTGCCCCCCATCCCAGTGGTCCCGGAAATAGATATGAGCACAGAGCATGGAAGCTGGCATTTACCCCTGTCCAGAGGTGCCTACATCCCAGTGGTCCTGGAAATAGATACGAGCAGAGCACAGAGAATGGAAGCTGGCATTTACCCCTGTCCAGAGGTGCCTACCCACCAGTCCCGTGTCTCCAGGGCGCCTTCACTGCCCATTCTAAGCCCTATTAAATATTTCTGTTTTAATTCTGTTGCATCAGTGCCTGCCATTTCATATGGGCATGAGCTCCTGAAAGCAAGATGATCCCTGCCACCTCTGGTCTCCTGTGGGAAGGAGGAGCACACACAAGCCCCTCCCCCGTTCTGGGTGTCCTGCTTTCTCCTGTGAGCTGCCCAGCCTCTCCTCACTCACCACCCTACCAGCCAGCTGAGGGGAGAAGACTGCGCAAAGCAAAGGGAGGAGAGAACAGCTCTGAGAGCATTTTTATTAATTTGGGGATCATTAGATGATCTTCCCTGGGCTGATTCACTTGTTACATTCCACAGCTGTCCAGAAAACAAGACTGAATTCTAAAGGAAAGGAGAACAACATTTGGGTTTGAGGAAGGCCGTTTTGGTCCTGGTCCCAGCTTAAGGAGTTCCTCCCCTCCTTCCTCCTGCAGCCCCTGCACCAGCACCAGCCCTCTCTTCCTCCCCACCCCCACCCAGGGCTGTCCCTGCTCCACTGTCCTCCCGCCCTCCTGGCTGCCTACCAGTCAGGGCCTCAGCCGGAGGCAGGGTGTTGGAGAAAGGCGAATTGTCCTGGGAAGTAGTATCTGTGGGCTCCTTCTTGGGCCTGCTCAATCCTGCTGCACTGGGCCTCCTGGTGCTCCTTGGGCCCCTGCCAGGGCCAGCATTGCTCAGGCCCGGGAGCAGTGACCAGGAGGGCTGTCTGCCTCTGCCCAGTCCACCCACAGCCCCAAAGGAATACCCCTCCTTCCCCCCTTCCCCATTTCACCTCTCCTTGACTTTCCTCACCTTTCTTTACCCTCTTCTCATCCTCACCCCTCCTCATCCTTCTCAGCCCTCCTCACCCCTCTCCACCCCTCCACTCCAGACTTCTGCCTCTCAACCTCCCCCACAGGCCCAGCCACCTCCCCAACCTCTCTGCTTCTTCCTCTGCCCGCTCTTACCTGTCGAGTCTGCATCTCTATGGGGCAGTGGACCATCCGGTCCAGGACTTTAAACTCAGGGTTCAGCTTGATGCAGGCCAGGCATTTCCGCTTCCGCTGGGGAGAGAGGCATGGGGCGAGGAGAAGAAAGGGGTGAGGAAAGCCTGTGGCCTCCTGAGGGTGGAGGCTGGGGGCTGCCTGCAACGGGGTCCTTTCCCCTGCAGGCCCTAGAGCAAAGGGGCGAGGGTCATGCAGACCAGCTGGTTTCAGGCCCCGCCCACCCTTGGATTGGAAATTTCAGAAGTCAAACTACCCTGCAGTTTTCAAAACGATGGGACTTCTGTGTATGTAGGCAGGAATCCTCCCCAAGTGACGCTCACCAGACCCGCTCTCCTGTCATCTATTATATTTATTTGCATTTTCTTGTAAGGTTTTATTTGAAAACAAGGGTTCTGGCACAGACGTCTGGTATAACCTGGCCCCTCCTTTAACAGATGGTGGAACTGAGGCCTTTGGTTCAGGGTTGCAAAGCCACAGGGTTGGTGCTTGGCAGAGCTGAGCCTAGAAGCTGGATGGTTGCATTCCCAGCCCAGGGGTCCCCCAATAGCAGGTTTTGCCCCCAAGATGGTTGGTTACAGTCAAGCCCTGTTATGGATCAGACTAGGCTGGGCCATCTCCACTTGAAGGCTCACAGAAGATGGAACTCACCAGGTCTGGGGCCAGACCAACCCGCACCATGGGCTTCTGCCAGTGATCTGAAGCTTGGGGGAGGAACTCGGATGACGTTGTCCTCTATGCCGGTAGCCCACCTCTCCCTCCTGCTTACTCAGGACCAGGCCACCCACAATGTCACACCCACAGGCTCCACAGAGGGGTCCCCAACCTCAGGCTTCTTGCTGGGTCTCCAACTAAACCCAATTACATACACCTGCGCCCGAGCAAGTGCCCCATCACACACACGTGTGCACATTTCCACTCACCCCATTGGGCTTGACCTTGCACTCAGTTCTCTTCCAGTCCTTCTTCCCACAGCCTGTCTGCTGGAGCGTAAATTCCAGCCTCACAAAGGTCCCCCCCTGGGAGGGCTGCCGACAGACAAGACAAGACAGACAGAGGAAGGCCAGCAGCCAGTTGAGCAGGCAGAGCAATTCCTGGAATGTGACCTGTCCCTTCTCCCCACAGTGAAACAGCACAACCCAGTTGGTGGCTGGCGTAGAGGCCTTTCTCCAGAGAGCTGGGTGCTCACAGAACCCAAGCACTTTTGCACCTGCTTCCTGGGTCTCTTGGGGTGAGGCCTGAACCCCCTCCCTTCCAGGGGTCGTGCTGCTAACCTTGTCCATGGCATTGTCCACACTGGTCTTCTGGAAGGCCCACTGCACTCGCGGGTGCTTATGGAATTCCTCCAGGGCCACCTGCAGGCCCTGGTGCTGGGCTGCTGTGAGCTCGGCCCTGCCCAAGCCCACTGTGCCCAGCCACAGGGCCAGCAGGATCAGCAGCTGCCACATGACTTCACCTCAGTCACCCTGGTCCTGCAAAGGGTATGTTCTCAGCTCTTCATACCAGCCAAGGGAGCCACCAACCCCCTGGCCCTGCACTGGGGGTCGGGGAGGGGGGCATGTCTAGCAGAGCTTTGGGCAAAGACAGAGGACAGGACAGGATGTAGCCCTTTGCCTAGATTCCCCTGGTATTCCCCTGCCTTTCGCTCTTCCCTGCCCTGCCTTCCACTGTTCCCTGGATCCAGCTCAGCTCAGCCTGGGTTTGGCCCTGCCCTGGGTAGATGCTGAGTAGGCTTTTGTCCTAGGCCAACAGCCAGGGAAACACTCTTGTTGTCCCTCCCTCCCTCCCTTCCTCCCTCCCTCCCTTCCTTCCCCCCTTTTCTGTCCAGTTCTCTGT